TTTGGTGATTGGGCAGCTTGAGGTTGGAGCTTGGAATGGGTTTACTCCTTGGAAGGTTTAGATGGGTTCCTGCGGGAACCTGTGTTGCAGGCTCTGGGAGAGGATGTGACATGAGGGCTCAGCATTTTGGCTGTAACTATTCCTGTATCTGTTTCTGAAATAGAGTGTGGGTGGGGGAGGGGGAGGCAAGGGAATGAGACGGAACACAGGAGTGGAAGGTTCTAAAGCTACGCTGGAGTGACCCCGCCCCCGACTGGAGCTGACGGCAGTGGTCTGCCCCATCCACTCCTCCATGGGAGGCCCTGGCTTGCGGAGGGAGGGGGAAGGCATCAAAAGGTAGGTAGGAAAGGAGAGGGGATGCCACCACCTAGGAGGCAGCAGCCGCGGGGCGTGGATGGCTCGTGTTTTACGGGGCGTGGGGGAGCGTGAATGAACCAAGTTCAGAGGAAGCCTAGTCCCTCCTTTTGTCCCAGACCTAGTTCTCCCGGTGTCTCCTCCCCTCCTTCCTCCTCCAAACCTTCTGCCATCCAGTCGTCAATCCCCCTTCTCCAGGGTTCTTTGGCCTCCAAACGAGAGCAGACCTCTTGGAGTCTCAAAACCACCTCCTTCCACGCCTCACCCTCGGCTGCCTCTTCCCCCCACTTCCCACCCACCCCAGTCGAAAGGTCACCTGTTGATTTTTAGAAGAGTGGTCACCTGTGTGTCTGTGAGGGGGAGTATTGCACGGGAAGGGGCATGGGCGAACTTGCTGGGGTATTGACAATCGCCCACATCTGCATCAGGTGGTGATTACGCGGGTATATAGAAACAGGTAAAAAGCTATGGATCCGTGTACACTTAAGATGTGTGCGCTTTTCGTACACGAATTATACTTCAATTTAAAAAAGAGAAAAGAAAAAGGAAAAGAACTAGGGGAAAATGATCAGTAGGAAGCTTGTTTTTTTGCCAGCCTCCCTTTCCTCTGCCCGGTGGCTTTGAGCCCGCTGACCACACCCTCCTCCTTCTTGCCCCGCCCCCAGCCCTGCTCCTCCCTCCCTGGCCGCGCCCCCTTAGTTTCGAGCTGAGAATGCACGTCCCCCATCGGCGTTCTAGCTTTCTATCAGTGGTCCTGCTGTGCTCCCAGGCTCCCAGGCAGGGAACCTCAGAGCCTCCGACTCCCTCTCAGCTGGCTAAGCACACCGCGTTCGGAGACGGTTCAGTCATCCTTGCCTTCTGGTTGCCTCCTGCCTGGATTGTGACCATAGCTCCCTAACAACTCTCCCTGTCCCCTTTCTCCATCCTCCAATCTCCCTATCCACTGTTCCCAGATGCACATTCCTCAAGTTCACATCCATGGTGTCCTCTTCTCTAATCAGCGGTCCCCCGCAGTGCAGGTGCTGGCGGATGGAAAGCAGGCCATTGGGATCTGGCCTCTGCCTCTCCCAGCCTTGGCTGCTGTAGATCTTCTTCCCCCTCTGAGCTTGGAAACTCTGTATCAAGCTGGTCCTTTGCACATGCTGTTTCCTTGGTTGGTAATGACTGTCTCCACCTCACCACCTTCCCCAAACCCGGCCGCCACCACCCAGTAAACTCACTGGGTGAGTTTCAAGGCTCAGGTCAAATATCTTTTTTTTAAAAAAAAGAAATTTATTTACTTATTTGGTTGTGCCAGGTCTTAGTTGCAGCAGGACTCCTTTAGTTGTGGCAGGCAGGCTCCTTAGTTGCGGCTCACCGGCTCCTTAGTTGTGGCATGCGAACTCTTAGTTGCGGCATGCATGCGGGATCTAGTTCCCTGAGCAGGGATCAAACCCGGGCCCCCTGCATTGGGAGCGCAGAGTCCTATCCACTGGGCCACCAGGGAAGTCCCAGTTCAAGCATCTTTGAAACACCTTCCTGATGACGTCAGACACATTCCTCCCTCTTTTGTCCCTAGTTCACACTGGGTATCTCACACTGGATCTTGGATTGGGATGAACCACTTGCTAACCTGAGTCTTAACTTTGGCCCCTGGAAGCCAAAGTCACACCTTGTGTTTGAAATGTGTAGTTACCATTACTGAGCACTTAAGAGGTGCCTGACTGTAGTGAAGGTTAAGAGGATGGGACACTGCACCTCAGGCATCATAATACACCAACCTCATAGGATTGTTATGAGCAGAGGGTGGGAAAAGGGCCTGGCACAAGGAGCCTCCTCAGCCCTTATGTGCACCTGTGGTTTTATTTAATCCCATAACCTCTGAAGTAGGTATTGCCACCTCCACTTTACAGAGAAAACCGAGACCCAGACAGTGCCCAAGATCACAGAGAGATGGAGCCAGCCCTCTGGAATCCAACCCTGTGCTCTCCACCCCTCACCCCTGCACTCCACTCCACCTCAGCCCAGCACCTGGCATCCACAGGCCCAGTCAATGTTTGTTGCATGAATAAAAATGATTCACCAAGTGGCATGCTTGCCCCCTCCAGTCTGGGCAAAATTTCTGGGCAATTGCTTGGCATACTCGATAAAAATAAATTGTTTGCATGGTTGACGCATCCTGGTCACTCCTCTGGCTTAAATATCACTTCCTCAGAGGCTGTCAGCCACTACCCCCTCTCTTATACATTAGCTCCCTGAATAAGAAACACAGGAAGGACAAATCAGAAACCAATGAGGATCGTGGATAGGAACACAGTGGAGGGGGCAGGGATGGGAGTGATTCTGTTACTTGACTTTTATATAGCTTGACGTTCATATATGTAATACCTCCAAAAAAACAGAATTAAACCAAAAGGGGAGGGACACACTAACTCATTTTATATATATATATATATATATATATATATATATATATAT